CCTAACTTCGTAAAATAAAACCAGTTCCTTAATATTTTTCACTGTGAATAAGGACCGCTTGTCTATACGAAAAGTTATTTTACATTCTCTAGTCCCCTTTATATAAAATTGTAATAATAAAACTTCTTTACAGCCCTAAGTTCCAGCCACGGGACTATTTCTGTGTTATTTCCGTTACTTTGAAACGCTTTAGTGTTCCGCTGATCTTATTCTATAACCTGGTTGAGACATCATTAATTCTGGGAATTTTTTTTATTTTAAAATCTGAAGTGCTTCTGATAAAACTGATATAAATGTATATTATTATACTACCAGCATTCTAAATTTATATTAACTTAATTTTTCTTATGAAATTCATATATGTTATTACCCCATATATCAAGTGGTCATATATTTATTTTCTTGTAAAAATAAATATTTTATTTTGTTTTGTAAATAATAAAAAAACGAGTAAGAAAGTATAGTCGGAAATGCCCGAATATGTGAGACCCTACAGCTGCTATGATTCATTTTTAAGTTATTTCAGGAAATGGTTCAAAAATTCAGAAAATTATTTTCTAGATTTAAGTTGAATTAAAAATTTCTATATTAATAAGAGATGTTTTAGTCTTAAATTGAATTTCGGGAGGAGTATTATTTCTCTCTGGAAGCTAGATCCATTAATGGGTCGACCCTTATAGATTTGCTTAATGTTATCGTAATAGTTATCTATATTTAAAAATGAATGTGTGTTTGTATGTTTGTATATTTAAAGTTTATAGACTACAAAACGGCTGAACCGATTTTCTTGAAATTTTCACAGTATATTCTTGTGTATACTTTTTATTTTGAAATTTAAAGTGGGCGAGGAGCCCATATTAAGAAAATATTAAGTCAGTATATCTGAGATAATATAACAGTTATAGTCCTCAAATTTTGTCAAAGCCACTTAAGTGTCAATATGATCATTTAGAACAAAAATTCGTTTATCCTTAAAACTATTACAGTTAGAACTTTAAAACTTTGCACGAAGAACTTTAACAGCCATGTAAAAAGTTATAAAAGTTATAAATGGGCGGACTACCAATGAGGGAAGCGGCACCTCCCATATGAATTAAATACAAAAAATCGTTTATCTGGAAAACTAATAAAACTAAATTCTTCAAATTTTGCACGATAAACTTTAATATTCTTCTGAACATTTTGCATTTTAGAGCCCTCATATAATTTAAATAGAAAAATTCGTAGATCTGAGAAACTAATAGAGCTAGAATCTTAAAATTTTACATGAAGAACTTTGACATTCATGTGAACATTTTGTGAATAACAGGAGGACTTTCAATGGGGCTTGGCACCTCCCATAGGAATTAAATAAAAAATTTCGTTTATTGGGGAAACTATTAGATTGTTCAAATTTTTCATAGATTACATTCTTAATTAACTTTCGGAAAAATTGACGAACTTGCAATAATTTGCATGACATCTCCCATATGTAAAAATTTGTGTATCTGGAAAACTATTGTAGTTAGAATCTTTGAAATCGTTAGATGGGTTTTTTATTTATATTGCATTTAGGGTAGCAAAGCACACTGGATATAGCTAGTTTATAATATTATACGATTAGTTTTAGAAACCCCTTAATTTTGAACATTTTTGATTATGAAATATCTCTCACTATATATTATATTTTCTTCATTACGGTAAATATAAAACATATTTTATATTTCGACTATTTTGTCCTCAAAGTCGAAAAAAAGAAAATAGTTAAGAGTCAAAAAGTAGTTATTAAAAAAGTTCAAAAAGTCGGAAATTTTAAAATTCGAAAAACTTTTTTTTATAAAAAGCTAAAAACCAAAATAAATTGCAAAAAGTTGAAAAGTCCAGAAGTAGGGTATATAAACTGATTTGTATCTTACGGGCAAACGTTTTGTTTTTTTTATTGTAAATCCCTAGAATTTTGTTTACAACAATTATTGCGATTTCAGTATTTTTTGCTTATTTGAATTAATCTCTTTTTTAAATAATATTATAAGTAATATTAATTACGGCACGTTGGTTGTCAAGTGCATATCACATGTATAAAATATTAAACAATACAACGTCATTGCAAAATAATTACCAGTTTCAAATCAAAGTTATTTAAATCGTAATTAAATTAAAATTTTTTCTTACAAAATAAGTATGTACCAGTATATAGGATAGCAAAGATTCTTAAAGGATTATTAAAAGAATGCATACATTTTCGAACAAGGTGAAAATTTTATAACTAAAATATTTTTAATATAGTTTGGCTATTATATACATTAGACCTGTTCTAAATAATTCGCTACATTTGCAAACTCTTCAGTTTATTTTTAAACAAAACAACACCTCGTTTCCCAAACTTTTCATAACATGTTCCGTTTCTTTCCTTTATAAACCTTGTTGAAGTGTACCTTTTATTGGGAACCACTGACTTACTTCATGACTAATCAACACGCAATAGGTGTGGATATGAAGGTTATATGCAAAATATTTTTTAAATAGAATAAACAATATAAACAAATATGACATAATGTTGTAATGGATAAGGATAAGAATAGAATGGAAATAAACAAAAGTACGAAAGAACAATTAGGAATTATAGCTATTTTAACACAATCGATAATAAATTATTGCTAAATATTTGTTAATATTTACTATTTTAATTTATGCTAAAATTTTTAGGGAAGGGCCATGGGAAAGTATGTGAAAATGTAATTTGAATCTAAGTAAACAATTCGAATATAAATAATGTTGGGCTAGTATTTGTCTTGTATTTGAATTATACGCCATTTTGGAAATAGATTAAGCACACAATCACATTCCCGCGCACTTTCCCTAAGTCCAATTACTAACAATAGTAATTAGTATTTAAAAGTTTTGTAATAAAATACCACTATTTATATATAAAACTATATAAGTTTCATAAATAAATAGTTTATATGGTCCTATAGTCCCACAGGGGTATAAGTGTCACAGTTTTAGGCTAGTGTATATAAAGGTTAATCTCAATTTATTAGAAAAATCTTCTTAACTAGAATCTGTATTGTTAAAAAGCTTTTAAAAACTTTCCATACTTTCAATAATCTTCTTGCTAATAATCAAATCGCGAACGAATTTTCTCGATTAATCCTTTTAGCAGTTTACTGTATCTCTCTCTCCATTTTTAGGTTATGTTTTATTTACTCTTTTTATAAATTAATTAATAACAATCAAAACCACAACATTTCTATATGTTTTCTTAACAATTGTTTTTTATTAAAATTCACTTTTCAAACCAAATTTCAATTGAACTTAATAAGAAGTCAACTTCAACAGACGACAGACAGACCAAAAAATACCAGACATTATTGTCGTGCTATTGTGTCATTTATTTAACAATAACTTCTGACTGACTGAGTTATAACAGCAGTAGTATCAGGGAACCGTTAAATAACAGTTTTGATATCAGTAAACAATGGCATGCATATTTGCAATTGAATTACAATTTACAAAATGTTTATTTGTTTGTGATTTTATTAGAATTGCTACTACAACCGCTAAATTGTAAATATGTATACAATTAAATAAACATTGTAGTTTATAAAAAAAAACATTTAGCACATGAAAAAAGAGGCTCGTCTTTTTGAACAATATGTATACACATGTGTATACATGAGATAAATATACATTCATACATATTATGAACATATGTACATACGGCTGTATTTATAAAAACTTATTTTAGGTTTATTAAACAATTTTAGGCAAAATTCAGGAAAATCGTATTTATAAACGTGAAATAGCTTAAAACACCTTCAATAAACCATTGATAATTAGAAGAATTTTATTGTAGGCTCGACCCTTCTTTAAGCCAACAATAAGTTGATTTTTAACAATTTTTTTCTCAGATAAAGATTTTTCCGGTAATTTTAGGTTGATTGCGAAAACTTATTATGGTTTCTTTTAAAATAAAATCTAAAAATTCTAATTTTAACGTTTACAAATTTGTAAATAAAATCCCAGAAAATTTTTAAACGATTATATTTTGAGGAAAAAACTCAAATCTAGGCATTATTGGATTAATGCCTGAATATTTGACAATATTCCAATTGTCCAGCACTATTTTTAGGAAATTTGGAAATGCCCGTCTGTCAACCAAATGAAGGACAAAATCATTTGATTTGGCTTTTTCAAAGTTTGGTTAAATATAATGCCATAAAGTAATTAACCATGTAAATTATATTGATTAGTGTTATACTAATGCAAAATATATTCGCCGGCATTAAAATTAGTCAAATATCAAAGAAATTTATCAATATTTGCAAAAATTTATCAAAAATTACAAGGAAAATAAGTAAAAATAAGAAAATGTGTCATAGTGATGTATATTTTGTCGCAAAATATCCGTTATTCGGATACTTTTAATAATAATTAGAAATTATATGTTATATTTATACATCTGAACTAAATAGACATTTATTAAAGCCATATATATATTTATTTTTCTTAAAAGTTTGTTTTTATTGTCAAAAATCTATTATAAACAAAATTATGAAATTAAGAAAACCGAATCAACGAATATTTTATCCTAATTGTACGCAACACTAACACTTAAAATGACAGCCATATTGTGCAGTGCTGCCAACTTAAACATAAATCAGCACAATAGTTAATATACGTTTATTATTTGTTTATGAATATCACAATTTTATTAATGGTTTTTAAGGCTAAAGTGTGCTTTAACTATTGAGTGCATTAACAGCAAAATAAGATTTTTTTATAAATACAAGCGATAGTTTTCATATCAGTAAATTATTTATATGTATGCACATTTATATGACCTTATTTATATGAAATCTTAACTTTTAAAGTTTATTGTTCTATACTTGAACCCCTTCGTGCATATTTTTTATATCTTTTAATAAAAATGAATCCTAAAATTGTAATATTTTTACAAAATATTTTGATATTAACTTCCTAAATCTTAATTAAAATTTTTAATAGTATTTAATACTTACTTCTTAATCTGCTAACACCTGATTTTTCCGTATTAGACATAACTTTTTAATATACACTGTAAGAAAGAAAAAACAATCATAGATTATTAAATGCTTTAAAATAATATTTTATTTTAATTTTTTTGTTTAATTTAATTAAATATTTCAATAGCAAAAGGTAATTAGTAGTCAGTTTGATGAAATATGTACATACGTATATGCGGTTCCTTATTAAACTCTAAGACGATCTAGCCATGTCCTAGACCAACGGTTCCCAAATGGGGGTCCGCGGACCCCTAGTGGTCCGTAGTAAAATCCTAGGGGGTCCGCGAAGACGAACGAAAAAAACATGAATAGACAATATTCTTTTATATGTATGTACAATTATCTCCAATTTTTGTGCAATAATCCCAAATTTTTTGGTGACTTTTTGAATTTTATTTTTTCGGTTGTTTATCTAGGCCCTACAAATTTATTGTATAACTTTTATAAAGTAAAGTATTGCGTGATTTGTAATTTTTATTTCCTGTATATGTACTGAAATAATGGTTTTTATTTCAGACAAATAATACTCTGCCTTACAATTAAATTAGGGATACTGGTATTCCGGAGTATGAAGTTCAATTCAAAGGCAAGCTTATTACAGATTTAAGTTTATCAAATTGTAAGCAAAAGTGTTCTTGTTTGAAAGGACTAAAATTATATATTTTCAAAACAGAGGTGACGCTTTATGCATCTCTTTATAAATATTCCAATCCGACGTGATACACAGATTTTAACTTGATTTTGTCGACCAATACATATTATTAAATTAACATCAGAAAATCCGTAAATATGTAGCCAAAAACCATGAAGTAAAATAATTCGTTGGTATTTTAAAATTCAAATTTAAGTTCCAAATTCACAGTACTTTAACAAAGAGTTCAAATCATATATTATGCGGATAACGCATTCCGCAACAACATAGAAGAAGTCCAACTTTCTTATATTATTTTCCCGAAAACTTAGCTCACTTACTCAGTTCACCCTTTGCAATCTCAACAAATTTTTGAAACGTGACTCCTTAAGCACATGTGACAATATTTGATAAAGAAACCTTTTCGCTACCTTGAAGAAAAATGAACATGAAAGATCTCACGATCATAAAATTAAACATCACGTTAACATATCAACAAAGAAGTCATTCTATCTTCAAAACATGCAATTGAAAACCTATCTGAAATGTTATATATTCTCAATGTACGGGAATATTTTATAGATATGACATCTCTACATTTATTAGACCTAGGGATTAATGGACTAGGTCAATTTTCGGATGGACAATTATTTAGAACAATAGAATATCAAAATATGTATGGGGGTCCGCGAAATTAAATAAGTTCTTCAAGGGGTCCGCGAAGTAAAAATCGGTGGGAACCGCTGTCCTAGACGATTGAAATCATGATAGGGTCTACACGAGAAGAGCTAAAGTGCTGAACATTTTCACAAATATTCTCTATTGGCAAAATCGCTTTGACAAAATACGACAAAATTTTTTTATTTTAAGAAATTTCAAATTCTGTAGAGATCGTTTCATAATTGAGACAAGACCCCATTAAAGGCCTGGAGCCGAATTACTGCTTACCTACATAAATGAAAGAAAAGACTTTCGTATAAAAAACCCAATACGATATCGAAGTCAAGCAAAAATGTTTTAAATTTATTGCTCTATATCGAATGAAATCATCTAAAAAAGGGAAATAACGATAAATTTTCCTCAACCACGAATGAGTGTAAAACCATATGATATTTGGATAATTCCGAAACTTTTAAAATAAGCCCCTAAAACATTGTACACTTTGTTCGAGAATTAGGTTTAAAATTTATTCAGTTCATTCTGAATTTCACGGTAATTTTTCATTAATTCGCTCAAAATCTTATAAATAACAAGTAATAAAGTATAATCGGGCGTGGCCAACCATATGATACCCCCTACACCAGTTATGAATATTAAATGTTATTTATTTTTCATAATAAAGTATTTATCGTCAATATAACCTTGTTTCCAAAACATTTAAGTAATTTATGGACGAAAAACAATTTTTCTGAAAGTGGGTTTATATGGACGTATGGGGAAAATATGGACCGATCCTGATAAAATTTTGTGAATATATTTACATAATACTTATTTGTGCTGGATTTCATCACGATATTAGTGTTTATATGTGAATTTTGGACATTCAACTCTTTTCTAAAGGGAACTTTGTATGGGAGCTAGGGTCAAATGAGGCCCGATCTTTATGAAATTTGGCAAGGTCATCAAGGCTTGTATAAAACTTATTTGTGCTACTTTTTTCGAGATACAGGTATATTTAACATAATTATGAGCTCAAATCAGCCAGCCAGACGGACGGACACAGCTTAATCAACTCAGAAAATGATTCTAAACCGATCCCACTAAAGTGGTGTAGAGTATAGAATTTAATTTGAGCAGAACAACTGGAAATGGAAATCCTGTATGTATGTAAAACATTTGAAATACCCGAAACTGTTCACTGGTATGTTATTGATCGGAGTAACATTTTATCTGATCAGTATTAGGGCCTTATAAAAACGAGGCCTTTTGCTTAAACATTTTGCTAAACAGCAAGAATATTTGCTTGTAATACTGAAGACCCCTATTTAGAAACTCACTAAAATTTCCAAAAACCCTCAAAACAAACCCATAAATAAATAATTACTTTATACTTAATACAATTATAAAAACAAAACAGAATAGTATTGTTAATAGTAATTACTGTAGTTAATATTTTAACACTTATTTAATTAATATATAAAAACTTTTTAATTGTTATTAAAACAATGACTAAATAAAATTTTCATTATTGCCAAAATCATGTCATATTTCTGTTTTCATTCAACCGATTTATGGGTTTTTAATCTACTGGAAATTGAAAACAAATAATTTGCAAATGTATGTAAATATTTACAACAATAAAAAAATTTAAACAATTATTTTATTTGTTTGTAACAGATAATTTAAGCAAATCATGACAATTGTAATACAAATTCATCAATGTCATTTTGAGAATATTCATGTTTTTTTTTCATTCTATATAAATATTTATACAACAGGTAATGAATGATGGAGTCGTTGTAACTTTGTATTTAAAACAACAGGCAACAGGTTTGTTTGTTTCAATTTACAAAACTTTTTACAAAATAAACGTACAATTTGTAAACAACTTAAGCAAAATTTATTTGAATAAATTTTCCTAGAAAATATTTTCATATGGAAATTTAATTAAAATATAGTAAATATTTATGTTTAGTTAAATATTTAGTTATAAAAACTTTTTGCATGTAATTTTGTTATAAATGTCTTTTAGTGGTTGGAAGTAGAAATTTTTATTTTTATCTAAATATATTAGACCAGACCTTTAAAAATACATTTGCCTAAAATTTAGGATTAAAAAAAATTGAACGACATAGGTTCCTGTTAAACGAAAATTCTAAATTTTAGCATTAATTCCTTTTAAATTTAATTTAGAGCAGGTCTAATACATATTATTCATACATATAACTTTTTGTGCGTATATTAAATATGTTTTAAATTTAATTTATAACATTTTCATGAATATGATTTTTTTCGTTGGTTCAAATTGCTTTTAGCGCGTAGGAAAAAAATTTCATCACCAACAACATGAAACAGTGTCGTTTATAAAAATAAAATAAATCTATTAATAGTTTCTCATACATGTGAGTAGAACGACATTTCATTTCGGCAAAAGAAAAAATCATAGTTTTTCCTTTTAGTTGAGACTATTTTCATTTGCTTTTGTTGTTGTTGTGATGTCTTCTAGACAGACAAAATATATATTTTGAAATCATCTGAGAGTATCTAGTATGTTAAAAGCAAAATTTATTTTAATTACATAGAATGATTTTAAATTTTCATTTACATACTTAGCAACAGCTAATGCTAATACTAATTACAAATTGTTAGTTTCTGTTTTTTGTATTTAAAGTCATGTATTTAATTCCTTTCCACAGTTTTTATTTTAATTGTTCTTTTTTGAGGGTCAACACCTTAAATACTTAATTCCATGGCATATTCATTGAGTAAAAATGGGACATGCTTGTGTTAAGTTTTATAGAACTTTTTTGGGCTAATAAATTATGTAAAAATGTCGACTATACAGTTGGGGTTTAAATAATAGTGCTATTACTTCTTTTGTATAAATATTTATATTTGAAAAATATTCTATTAAAAAAAAGTTTTAACAATATTATAAGGACCATAATTTCAAGGTCTATATGGATTGGCCAGGATTAACACATTTATTATATTTATGAGGAACTTATTTTGGGTGAAAGGCCTTTATAGTGGTCAATTTTCTACACAGAAAAGCAGCGAAATTGATACAGTCCGTTGTCAAAAGTTTGCTTACCACGTTTGTTAACATTTAGACAACGGATGTGTATACAATTTAAATAACACTCTGTTATTATTATGACAACCACCGTTGTAATTTTGACAACGCGTCGTTGTCAACAATGCTTTGCAACAATACTTCGATTACTCTTTGTGTCGTTTCGGCAATGCATCGTTGTGTTTTCGACAACGAATCGTTGTCATTTCGACAACATAGCGTCGTTACTTTGGTAACACATTACTATTTTTTTGTTGATTGATAACGTCGTGTATATTTTATATTTTTGTTGTTAGTTTGACAACTATCCGTACATACTTTGACAACGTATGTTATTGAAAAATTATAAACACTTTGGTGTCAATTTGGTACCAGGCGTCTATAATTTTAAAAAGTCTTTTTCCTCTGTATACAGAATTTGAGAGAGTGATTAATTTCTTAGACCATTTCTATTTTGTCAAATTGTTCTTAATACCATAATTTTTACACGATATATTGGTGATAAATCGATTTTATCTAAGTGGGTCAATTTTATCTAATGGAACTAATCTTATGACATATGTACAACAGAGAGACTTGTTTATGAAGACTTTCATCGCAATACTCGTATTTTTTAAGACAGTTATTAACTTAAATATCATTTTATGGGACCTGGAGTCAACTATGACCCATTTGCCATTTTTCACAAGTTGGTTTTATTTACATATTTCGGGTCCTTCGATCATCTCAAAGAAAAGAAAAATTAAACAATAAATTATATTGTCGCCTAATAAACATTTCAGTTATGACTTAAATTGTATTCCGGAGGGCGACTTGTATTGGGTGACTTACTTTGATATTGCTAGATCGTCTGAGGATCTAATAAGGATCCACAATATATGTATATGAATTTATGTATACTTTTATGGGTTTCTGATCAAAGTTCTCTACGGAACCATTTATTTCACATCAGTGAACATTCTTTCTCGAATTGAGATGATCGAAGGACCCGAAATAAGTAAATGGTTTGGTCTTGACTGGATTTTAAAGGTTAGGAAACGGTTATATTCCTAAGATTTTATATATATGTATGTTAAATCTTAATGAATTTAAAGCGTTTTAAAAGATAGTTAATAGTTACAGAAAATAGTGGTAACATTTTGAATGAAATATTTGAACAATATGAACTGACATTAGGTTATTTTACAAGAACTGTTAAATTTGGTTATAAAAGGTAAATCATACAAACTAAAGTAAAAAAAATAAAATTTTGTTAAATCGGTAATTTAGTTCTTTTGAGAAAATGTTCACAAATTCTGAAAACAAAAGGAAATAAAAATAAAATTTAACAATTTTCAAATAAAACCATAAAAACTACAAATTAATTTTTAAATTAAAAACAAATCAATTATCTTTTACACATTACTCACCTTAATTATTATTTACACTAACAAAAATAAATTATTTACAATATTACAATTTAATGCAATTTAGCGTAAAGAAAAACACTTTAAAAAATGTTACAACAAAAACCGATATTTTTCGAGTTTTTATAAATGTTAATAACAAAAACAAATTTCAAAAAAAAAAAAATAAACTAACGGTCTGTTCTTTTAAGTTTGAATGTCACTGTCACTGCAAAATGTATAAAAAACACAAATTTGAACCCGAATAGAAGAAAAACATTAAACACAAAAAATGCACAGGAAAATAAATAAGAAAAATTTCGTTAAAGTGTTGGCGGTAGTTTGTTTTATTTAACGTCAACAACAATTTGCCAAAACCAGGCACATGAAAATGTTTTTTTTTTTTCTTTCTTTTATTATTTGTGTTCTGTAAAATTTTTAACGTATTTTATTTGTATTTTAAGTTTTTGCAACAGTTTTTTTAGCGTTAATTGTAAATTATTTAAAACCGCCAGGAATGGTTTTTGTTTTGTAATTTTGTTAACATATGGTTTTGTTGAATTTATTTATAATATTGAAATGTTGTTGTTTTTATCTAAGATTTTATTGCTGTTATATACTTTTTGTTTTACAAATAATATTTATTTATTTATTATTACATAGACATTGTTCTTTTTGGGATTTTTAAATTAAATACAATTTGTTTTATTTAGTTACTTTATATAAAATTTATATATTTTATTTATAAAATTTATTTTTTTTTTCTTATCCGAGATCGATGCAACCACGACCACAGTATCTATTCAACTGAAATTTTTGCTTCACTTGACGGGCCTTTTTCATAGAATCCTCTCCCGCTCTCTGTAGACTTAAAACAACGTTGTGTGATTTTTTTTTAATATTGTTATTCTGTTTTGTCGTTTTGCCTTCTTCTTGCTGACGACTAGCAGCCAGTCAACCAACCCAACAGTCAGCCACACTCAAAGTATATACATTTAGCATGTTGTATTTTCACAGTTTGTAGTGTTGCCGGCAACAACGACTGATAAAATTACACATTTGAAAACTCAAAACAATTCAGGAAGTTAATAAATCTGTAATACTCACGATCCCATAAAGTATAATAATGAATTTTGGATCCTTATAATCACTTTATATCTTATGAAGTAAGTTATATTCAGATACAAAATTTTGTTATTGAAAATAAGTAAAATAGTTCTATATGTATATAATTAACACATGATGAAAAACTACAATACCCTGAGATTTTACCTATTCTTGTATCTCAGAAACATAACAAACAGAATTATTACCGAACTTTGAAATCCATAATTTATGTAAGTTATTTGAAAAATGTCCCATTTCTTTTTAATTCTATAATAATCGGCAACACTGTCTGCACATACTTTTTCAGTTTTTTTTGATTCTTGTTCCATGTGTAATAAATAAATTAAAAATGACTCCTATAACAATGTGGAACGCACATTAAAACATACATACATGTAAACGCCGCTAAATTATGCGTCGGCTATGCGGTTTAAACTACTAATCGTAGACTGTTTCGGTTGTTAGTAGAATAGGCCGGATACTATGAATTTGAAAAACTAGAGATATGCCGATTGTTATGATTTTATTCTTAATAAGACAGATTTTCATTTTCATTGAAAACCGATGTTTTAGCACAGAAACTAATTCAGGAAAAGTAGGATCTTTCACGATAACTAACAAATAAATCAAATTTTGACTTAAAATTCAAATTGCTTAAAATTCAAATTGCTACTGTAAAAACTAATTTTCACTAAAAATTAAAATTTACTCTAAAAACTCAATTTTTCACTAAAAATTAAAAAATTACTAAAAATCTATTTCATTACTAAAAATTCAAATTTTCATTAAAATCCGGTTTTTATACCAAATTCTAATTTTCACTTAAACCATAGAATTCTTACTAAAAATTCAATTTTTTTAAAAAATCCGACATTTTACTAAAATTTAAATTTTTAAATAAATCCATTTTTTTTAATTCCAAAAATTATTTTAAATTCAAATTTTCTATTTTTCACTAGAACTGAACTAGAACTGAACTAGAACTGAACTAGAACTGAACTAGAACTGAACTAGAACTGAACTAGAACTGAACTAGAACTGAACTAGAACTGAACTAGAACTGAACTAGAACTGAACTAGAACTGAACTAGAACTGAACTAGAACTGAACTAGAACTGAACTAGAACTGAACTAGAACTGAACTAGAACTGAACTAGAACTGAACTAGAACTGAACTAGAACTGAACTAGAACTGAACTAGAACTAGAACTGACTAGAACTGAACTAGAACTGAACTAGAACTGAACTAGAACTGAACTAGAACTGAACTAGAACTGAACTAGAACTGAACTAGAACTGAACTAGAACTGAACTAGAACTGAACTGAACTAGAACTGAACTAGAACTGAACTAGAACTGAACTAGAACTGAACTAGAACTGAACTAGAACTGAACTAGAACTGAACTAGAACTGAACTAGAACTGAACTAGAACTGAACTAGAACTGAACTAGAACTGAACTAGAACTGAACTAGAACTGAACTAGAACTGAACTAGAACTGAACTAGAACTGAACTAGAACTGAACTAGAACTGAACTAGAACTGAACTAGAACTGAACTAGAACTGAACTAGAATTGAACTAGAACTGAACTAGAACTGAACTAGAACTGAACTAGAACTGAACTAGAACTGAACTAGAACTGAACTAGAACTGAACTAGAACTGAACTAGAACTGAACTAGAACTGTACTAGAACTGAACTAGAACTGAACTAGAACTGAACTAGAACTGAACTAGAACTGAACTAGAACTGAACTAGAACTGAACTAGAATTGAACTAGAACTGAACTAGAACTGAACTAGAACTGAACTAGAACTGAACTAGAACTGAACGAGAACTGAACTAGAACTGAACTAGAACTGAACTAGAACTGTACTAGAACTGAACTAGAACTAAAATAGAGCTGATCTTAGTAAAAATTAAAATTGTCACTTAAAATTCAAATTTTCACTAAAAATTTAATTTTTCGTTAAAAATAAAAATTTTCACAAAAAATTTAAAATTTCGTTAAAAATTCAAGTATTCTCTAAGAATTCAATTATTCACTAAAATATCAAATTTTCGAAAAAAAATCAATTTTTTTACTATAAACCACATTTTGACTAAAAAAAACGGAAATACTGTTTGATTAAATTTAAATTTGAAATTTGAAAAAAGTATTTTTGTAATTACGTATGTGATTGCCTTTCCATTGAGTCTTTTCAAAATCAAAGCTACAAATCGTATAAATTATAAAACGTGTTAATAATTTTTGTAAAGTTAACGATCAAAATATTTCTTTTTCTAGACCTGTGTATGATTAAATAAGAATAAAAAACAAGACTCAAATCAAATATTAATAAAATAAAATATTTTTTCAATATATAATATATTATGTATTTTTCTAAGTATGTCTCCCATGAAATAAAAATCTTATCAAAATGCAGCAAAAGTACAAAATATTAAACAAATTATATTTATAATTTTAAATTTATGTTTTGTTTTTTTATTAATTTAACCTTAGATAACTTTTTGAGGATTTGTCGCGCTTTTTATAAAAATGTTTTGGCAAATGTTTTAAAAAATTCCCATACAGAATTGGGTTAGATTTTGAAAAAGTGTTTTGATGTTTTCCCTTAAATGCTTTAATTTTAATTTAAAATTTTTATATTTTATAAATGTTTTGAGAATTTTGCAAGGATTTTAACTTTACAGTCTAATAACTCTAATAACAAATCTAGATTATTATTTCAAATTGGTTTTTCCTTTATTATTTCATCATTAATTTTAAACAAATTAATTAATAAATAATAAAAATATTATTTAATTTTTCTCCCTTTTGAAATTACAAAGTTCAAATCGTTTTTGCAAAATTGAAATCGTTTCATGCATTTTTTTTGTTCTAAGAGAAATCTCACAACGAATATTGAAAATTTTGATTGATTAGTTGCGTCAAGCGATAATAAAAAGATAATATGTAGAAAACAAAATAGAGAAAAATATATTTTTATTAAATCAGACTTTGATAAGCGCGTAATTTATTGTACTATTGAAGATGATTTTGATTTATTTTGCGATATACTTACGTATTTATTACGAAAACTGTACAAATAGATTATGTTTTCCTACTTTAATTAACGTTAAGGAAAAATTTAGTAAACAATTCTAAATTGCAGTTACTACAATATAAATAGATGTGATCAAAAATATCAAATTAAGTTACCTGAATTGTAAATTGCACAGAATTGTTATGTTTGTCGAAAATAGTATGTTTTTATGGATACAAAAGCAAAGAAACTCAAAATTTATTTAACATCTGCCAGCCATTTCAAATAGAATATTTATCAAAAAATATGGGGGTCAACAATTTGCAATGGCTTAGTTTTCTCAGATGCGTAAACGATACGAAGTTCTGTTTTAAAGCAGTCGTTGATAGAAAAATATAATATTGAAACTTTGTAATAATGAAACGTAATACATCTAGTATAAGGTTTTCATAGCAAATCTATTCCGAAAATTAGTCTGAAACTGTCAGACATTTATAAAGGTCTTGCCATAATGTTTTTTATTTAGAATTTAAGATTTTATAACATATTAAATAATTTATTCAATCATGTGTCGTCATTTGTATGCTAAAAACAAAAACACGATTTTCGTCATATAATGCATTTGCGTAGACTATTAAAAAGGTTTCAAAAATATTTTTATTTGTTCACTTATTTTTAACTATATAAAATATTTAAAATTAATAAAAAAACAAAAAAATATATTTATAAACTAATCTTTGTACCGAATTATTAACAGCCAGAGTGATAGAGCTTTGTGAAATTACACCATTTCGTATTGAAATTGAAAATTTCTAGTTCAGTTCTAGTTCAGTTCTAGTTCAGCTCTAGTTCAGCTCTAGTTCAGTTCTAGTTCAGCTCTAGTTCAGCTCTAGTTCAGTTCTAGTTCAGTTCTAGTTTAGTTCTAGTTTAGTTCTAGTTCAGTTCTAGTTCAGTTCTAGTTCAGTTGTAGTTCAGTTGTAGTTCAGTTCTAGTTCAGTTCTAGTTCAGTTCTAGTTCAGTTCTAGTTCAGTTCTAGTTCAGTTCTAGTTCAGTTCTAGTTCAGTTCTAGTTCAGTTCTAGTTCCGTTCTAGTTCAGTTCTAGTTCAGTTCTAGTTCAGTTCTAGTTCAGTTCTAGTTCAGTTCCAGTTCAGTTCTAGTTCAGTTCTAGTTCAGTTCTAGTTCAGTTCTAGTTCAGTTCTAGTTCAGTTCTAGTTCTGTTCTAGTTCAGTTCTAGTTCAGTTCTAGTTCAGTTCTAGTTCAGTTCTAGTTCAGTTCTAGTTCAGTTCTAGTTCAGTTATAGTTCAGTTCTAGTTCAGTTCTAGTTCAGTTCTAGTTCAGTTCTAGTTCAGTTCTAGTTCAGTTCTAGTTCAGTTCTAGTTGAGTTCTAGTTGAGTTCTAGTTCAGTTCTGTATTAATGGAACATTCCTAATGGTTCAGCAAGAAAATATATTGCAATTATTATATTAATTTTTCAACAACTCGATCTGCACGATTTTTTTCCATTTAAGGATAAATAAAAATATCACACTATAAAAAAAATCAGGTTGAGACGTAAGCACAATCGTTCTATTATTGGATTTACATATTTACTTGGAGATACAATCAAAAGTATGAAAAAAAAAAATAAAAACATTTTTTGGTTTATAAACGTAATAACTGACTAAATATTTTCAGCATCACTATTGG